GATACCGGCTGCACATGACACGTTTTTCCCACTCGGAACAGCGACAAGATTGGTGCGTGTAGCGACCAGCAGCCAAGCACATTTCACGCGCCTTTTGTTTTTTTCCAAACGGAACACCTGGTCGGTTACCTCAACCCTCTCGCTTCGTTTTTGATTATACAAGGTGTCCCAGGAGTCCTTTTCAAAAGTATTAATTTATGGGTGTACAGTTATTATGGGGACAACTTTGCAGCGTGGGCATTTTGTTTATTGTTCCTTTGATTATTTGTAAACGTCAAATGCGCACACAAACATCTCGGCGTCGTTTCTACTTTTCCCAGAGACGGTAGAAGGCCACCCCATGCAGAAATGTGTACATTAGCAGCGAAAAAGAAACAAACGACTGCTTCTACAACAGTTGCAGCAGCATCCACAGTAACAGCAGCAACAAGTACAGGGACGGCCAATGTTACCTTAGCAGCAACAACTTCAGCAGTACATTCTGTTAATATTTACTAGAGGACGATAACTTGCTCTAAAATTAATTAAGACGATTGAAATGGCAGAAAGGCCACAATGCAGAGAAACGGGGACATAACTTTTTAGATAAATTTATGCATTCCCACTCGCACCACTCGTAAATTATACGAAGCGCAATTGCAACCAGCTGCAAATTACACGCTCTCTCTCTCTCTCTCTCTCTCTCTCTCTCTCTCTCTCTCTCTCTCTCTCTCTCTCTTCTCTCTCTCTCTCTCTCTCTCTCTCTCTCGCTCCCACTATGTAAATGTGTGTAGGTTTGTGTGTATGCGCGCTCGTGCGAGTGTGTGTGCGTGTGTGCGTGTGTTTGTGCGTGTGTTGCTTACATACCATAAGAAGAGCTTCTTTGCAACTGTGATTAGTGGTTAGATTCTTCTATAATATCTATCCACCCCTAATTCAATGAGCTCTGGATTAGAACACACAGCGAATATGTCCCCTAAAATGAAATTCCATTGTAATCTTCAACACTGTTCGCTGATTTAACCCTTTGCGGGAAACATGAACCATTGCTGCGCTGCCTGGCAACAAAAAATGCTTTCCCTCTAAATTGGGAGTTTTTTTTATTTCGTTTGTTTTATTATGAAAAGCTGAACACTGCCACCTCTAAGGCTTGTATAACAAAAGACGTGAGCTTGCGACAGGTATGGTGAGTGTGATTAGTCCAGCGGATATTAGATTAATTAGAAATACAGGTGATGAGACGATTACCCTGGTGACTATTAATTATCTGAGAAGCAGCTCACACAGCCGTTTCATTCGACCAATGCGTATACATTTTTCCTCCCTCTCTTTGGTTGCCAGTCT